GTATTTTCTAAAAAGTGTAAAACCATCTTTAAAATCCAACCAGCTGACTTCTTCATAATCAAATGACAGGAGTGTGTGTGTGTGTGTGTGTGTGTGTTTGGGGGGGGCATGTTTTTGCTTCATTGTGGGAACCAATTTCCAGAAAAACGCAGCCTCGTGGGGACCAAATGTGCATCGTGGGGACCCCTGGGTACAGATGCTCATTTCAGGTGGGGGGTTGGGTTTAGGACCAAGGTGTGAAACTAAACTAAACTCAAGTTTAGTTTAGCTTTAGGGTCAGGTAGGTACCTGTGAGGTTAGTTTTAGGGTAAATGATCAGGGTTAGGCTTTAAAATGACCAGAAAATGAATGGAAGTCAATCCACGGTCCCCACTGGGATTAAAAAAATAAACCTGTGTGTTTGTGTTACATGTAAGGCTAGGTCAGGGATGTCCAAAGTGTGGCCCAGCTCCATTTCTGGTCCCTGAACTGGTTTTGTGTGGGCCCTGACTTCACTTCAAGAATTATACTAATTTGTTGAGACAAGAATCATGTTTAGTCAAAGTAATTACAGCTGGCCCTCTGAGGGCCACCATAACACGAGTGGCCCTCAGTGAAAATGATTTTGACACCCCTGATTTAGATTGTTCACCAGTTCTGAGTGAGGTTCAATTTGAATCAGCAATTTGTTAAATATCAGGTTGGTCTGAAATGTCTGCTCTTTTTTTACACTTGTTGATTTAACTAAAAGATAGTTTACAGGATATCTGATCCTAACTTGGATTATTGGACAGTTTTATCTAAATTACCTGAAGATCACGTACATGAAATTTCCTCTTTTTGACATCCTGAATGAATGAGAAACATTTACTGTTCAGGACTACAGGCCACTCAGTCACAAGAAAAGATAAAGTTGATTTTAGACCTGCTGATGCAGCAGGATCATTCAGTAACTTTTACCTTCAGAGGAAGATAGAACATCTGTGACAAATTTCACTAAGGTTTGATCATGTTTATGGATGTACAGGACTGAAAGAACAATTTTCAGTCGTGTTTTGATTCTTTTGCCTACTGCTAGGAGGCAGCTGCATAAAAACATAATGCTGTGATGAGATGACAGCTCTTCATCAGAGCTGAACAACAACATCTGGAGTTTCTATGTGGAACAGTTTTTGAGATGTAATCATTTTTGTGTGTCCAGTCAGCAGCTTTTCAAATAGAAATATGGGGTCTAACTCAAAGCCCTTTGAGAGCTCAGATAGTTCGGCTACCAGGAGGGGGCTCCATGTGAGAGATAAACACATGTTCACCTAAGCCCCGCCTCCATTATCCAGTCTCACTTTATTCTGTTCATGTCCGGTCCTGCTTAGGTGTGTGTCTCTGTGAGGATTTGTGTGTTGTGTAACTTTTAATGTCTTGTGCTRTGCTCCCTCTTGTGTCTCTTCATGTTCCTCCTTCTTTCTGGTTCCTTCTAGGTCATTCTTCTCACACCTGTCCCTGCTTGTAATCATCTCAGCTGTATCCACTTTCCACCAGTGGCAGCTGGTGGATTTTTCTCCAGTGGGGGCTACAACTCCAAAATAGACATATCTCAGAAAGCAATCAAACGTACTCAGTTGTATCACGACAGTGTGTTTATTAAACTAATTAAAATAATAAAACAGCATTACAATGTCATGTAGTGTTTTATTTTCTGTACATAAATTTTGCTCTTCTGTTACTGAGAAGCAAATTTCTTCATGACT